ACTAATCTATGCTAGAAGAATTGGAGGAGAATGAATCGAGTAAATGGAGACTAAGAAATGAAGAAAGTGGAAAGAAACAGCTGTTCAATGTGAGGTATCATCCTAGTCCAATTCCTCCAAGATGAATGAACAACCAGAACCAATATCGATCCAAACGAAGCAACCTCAACCCTAACCCGCGCCTCAATTTGAATCTTCAGAATATCTCCAATGCCTCAAAATCCACACACAGATTCCGCTGTGTCACACTCGGCCCCCCATTCCTCCTCTCAAACACGGTGGTCCCGAAGTTCGCCGGCCGACTCGCATACACGCCCACGCGGACCTGCTTGTCCTCAACGCCCCAGAAGAACCACGTTACTTCGCGCAGCTTCTTCCAGCCTGATACGGCGTCCTCGTACCAGACCCACAGGGCGTAGCCGATGCGCTCGATCTTTACGCGCAGGTCGAGGCGGCGCGCGTGATGCGGAGGCAGGGCCGTGAGAGCCCAATCGGCGCCGTCAGAGGTCGCGCACACAGAGGTAGCGTGGCAGGCGTTGTTGCAGAACTCGAGCCCGACCTTGACCCATTTGGAGGCGGGTGCAGGAGGGACAGAGGCAGCGTATGCGGGGGGCGCACCGTGTGTAACCGCCGATTGCTGCTGCCCCGCACCGTTGTTCGCGGTTGCCGTGCTGGGGGGCGCGCCTGCTGGTGGTGCGAGATTGGAAGGCGCGTTCGGATTCGGGGGAGTCGCCGTCGTCGTCGTCGCAGCTGCGTCCGTCGTTCCTGCCCCCGTCGCGCTGCTTGCGGTTGCCGCAATTCTCCCCGGCGGAGCCCCTGCGAATATCACCAGCCCGCCCTGGTCCCATTCCAGCTCCCAGTCCGCCGACACTGTCACTTCGGCCGCGATGAACGGGCTGCGCAACGCGGTGTAGAGGATCGGGGCCGTCGACGTGTCGCGGCTCGGCGGCTTGCGCCAGAGGTCGGTGTTGGGCGGCGCCGCGAGGCTGAAGGACCCCATCCACTCAGGCACTGCATTGTTGGGGATGTTGAGCGCGGTGAACGACGACCTATCGGGCGGCATGGCCTCTTATACCCTTTCTCCAGTCCTCAGCGCGATCGTCTGTGAAGCCCGTATATGTATCAAGCGCTGTCTGTTTGGACCCCCGCTCGGATTGCCGAATCGTGTTGGGTGTCGAGCAGCGCTGTACGACGCACGTCTCCAGGTCATTCGCTTCGTCGCCGTGGTGGTGGTCGGGCAAGGATACCACATGTAAGCTGACACGCGCAGCTGGTGAAAAATTACCACTCCACCAGATCTGCAAGAGGATCGCGGAGGGAGCGTCGGATCTAATTAACACGGTTAGAATCCTGATGCGCCATTATTATGTCTTGCCGTGCGCTGCTCTGGCCGCCCTTTCGCGTTGTTGCTTACCAGTCGAGAAATTGATAAAGCGATGTCCACCACTTAGTCCTCCGGTGTCAACCGATGTCCGAGAGCAACTATGTATATGTCTCAGTCTTGCCGCGTCTTGCAGGATTAGCAAGCGAAAAAAGAACTTGACAGCGACACTCCCTCGCAGATATAAATATTCCTCAGGGCAAAGCCCCTGGCTCCGAGCGCAGCGAGGATGCTCCATCCAAGCTGAACTACTCCCGCCACCGTGCCTGCGGATCTGCTCAATGGTCTGGCATGCGTCGCCATCATGGTACGGAGCAGTGTGGTCCCTGAATTCGTACGGCGGTCATCCTGGAGGGCCTTGAGATGGCAAATGAGTATTTGTCCATGTCGTCGACGTCCTACCGGACGCGCCTAGCAGGGCGAGGGGAGGTGCAGCAAGAAAAAAGATTTGTCGGCGCACCCAGCCGCCTACCGCTACGTGGCAGTCGATTCGGAGCGTCAAAAAAGCCCCTTCATCTGGACTGACGTGCCTTCGTCGACGCTGGAGGTGAGCCTTTCAGGCCTGATGCAGATTTGGTCGTGGTTGATTCGAATGCAGTGCATCGGAGAGGGCGGTTGTGGCCCAAGATGATGAGCTGTCGCCGTGTGACGGCCAGGCCCGCTCCAGATGTTCTGCAGCAGCAGCAAGGGGGTTGTCTGCAACCTGTTCATCATACGCCGATGCCGCAGGCCCCGTCTGGAACGTAATTGGAGGGCATACCCGCTGTCGTCTTCCCATCACTGCGATTACGTGATGACATACAGACGCCCGCCAGCGTATACGACGGCAGACGCGCCCGATAGCTTTCTCGAAAGAACAGCAGACAACAAACGGCGCGTAAAGGGCTGCATTGCATTGTAGCACGCAAGACACTCGTTTGAGAATTACCCCTTTCTCTTGCCGACACTGGCCTGTTTCTGCATCCATCCTTCGCCCCTTCAGCACTCCAGTCCAAGTAGAAGAACAACATGGCGTACGACGCAACTGCAGTCAGCGAGGACAACGGGATCAAAGCATGCTGCCGGTGTTTCGAGCCGGGCCATACTTAGGCCGCCATCACAACAACTTGTTATATATTTCGGACGCATGCACGACGCTGTTGTACGTGTTCAGGCCTTCATCGCCGTGCTTCTCCAGACCATAAACTTGCATCTCAGCGAGACCAGATTTAGATATTCCAGAAAAGCAACCTAAAGAGTATGAGTGTCAGACTATGGGGTCATATGGTCGTCAATGGTTCGCCGTTGTGGAACTCTGAGCAAGCGAGAATTTTGGTCCCGATGATGCTCGGTTTGCCATTATTGGACGTACTCCCAGACACTCCAACCATCGCGCCCTTTCCTCGCAGGCGTACGAGGTCGTGTCATGAGACTCTCATTCGATGAGGAGAATCGTGTCTGTTTCCATTGCTCCGTTGTTGCAGCTATGGCTAGGTGTCGGCCACAGTCCCCATGTGCGCCCTTAGCCCTGTCTGAACGACTCTGCGTCGCCCTAGGGAAGAATGAAACGTCACCCACTGCGTCCGTACGAGGAGCAGAAACCCAATCGAAGAGAACGGCGTGGTCGAGTGAGCAAGAGAACTGCTGTTCTACCCTGGAATTCAGGACCTATGCTGAGTTACTAGATTTGAACATTTCGAAAGATCTTCGGGAGCTCTGCACATAAGTATCCGAAGCCATGGTCGTTGGAGTCGGCTTGCCTGAAAATCGGGCTCCGGTCATTCCAGCTCCTGTCGGATATGCTAAACGTGCCTCATTCTCCATCGAATGCCAGGCGGTTTCGACAGCTCATTGGTATTCACGAGTCCTTGTGAGGCTAGGTCTGATCCCACGTGGCAGGCTCCCCTCCGCGGAAGAAATCAGCGACCCGATAACGATGCGACCCGATGAACCTAGAGGGAGCTGCGGGAGTATGCCGCTACTCGAGGATGCTGGTACCGTTCGCATAAGATGCACGCTGTCCGACCTTCGGACGTAGGTATCCGCATGCTCCCACAAACAGCGATCTCTACCTAGCAAGTATATCTCAGGTCGGAGACAGGATAAGCAGTAAAGGATGCTCTGGCCCAAATTAGCTCTGGAGGAATGTTGTGCGCTCATATTATGCTGAGAAACAGTATGCTGATGGTGCGCTGCACTGATAGTTCGCAGGCTAGTTATCGAGCCTTCAGTTGCGGAGAACTCGCTACTGTGTAATGGTCAAGAGACACAGGGATAATCTCATGCCTGCGGAAAGTGTTGAGATAATATTATGGCGCGCTCTGAGGGCTCGTATACCCATAATTGAAGTGGAAGCTGGACACGATATCTGTCATGTCAACCCTAGCCAAACGAAAGCCCTGTTTTGATCAACACCCAACTCGAACACTCTTCGGTTTCCCACAGATGGAATGTTATTGGGGGACTAGAGTTTTAAGACTAACGATAAAGGAAAAGTCATTCCGTTGTGGACTTGAGAGTCTCGTAAGGTAGAGTGTCGTCGAGAAGGGCTTGTTGAGAGCCAAGTATTTTTCGTGCTCATCCTTCAAGAAAAGGCTAGATGCCTGTGAACTGCAGTGCTTGGTGTTAGTGGCGAATCATTGGAAGACTGTTGAAAGTCTTGTGCGAGAAAATGGCACTTCCATGAAGAAGGGCTCCTCTGTGACTAGCTGATCGGCCCCAACCTTTCATCTATCGAGGCAGCGGGAGCACTGGATTTTTGCAGCTTGCTGACGTCCGTAGCAATTTTCAGATTACGAACGGTCATGAATAGAATGCCGAAACTGTTTCTGAAGCTGAACTGACGTGGATCTCTGCTATGCGAGAAATACCTTCACTAGATGCTAGGATCTGGACTACAAGCTGCCCAACTTTAACTAACCACGTTACGACAAGATACTACTTTCTTATTCAGCCACCTAGGCTAATGGCGTTAATGAATTCACTTCCAAGCGAGCTGCGTTTTCAAAGCGTAGAGTAAGTGCTTGGATTTGAACGAGCGATTGCCTGCTTGCCTGAGGACCAGAGTCACAGCCATGCGTTTAAAGGCCTTTGGAGTGCAGGTAGCCGAGTGTTTTCATTCCAAATAACGTGCATAACTCACGCCTCAATTACAGTACAGCCGCAATCGCAGCCATCCGTCCGACATTCAATCGCCCCGCAAAAGGACAGCAAGTCCTTGAAAGTAGAGGCTTTTGCGACTGCCGAACCGTCGTCCGCATGTATAAGGCGAGGCTATTTATTGAGATGAAATTTTGGAGTATAAGGAACAACGAACCGCGGAAGAACAAGGAGGCTGCCGAATGAGCCGGTCGAACCACAAATTGATGAGATGGATATCAAGCACGTATGTAGTGTGATAAGGTGCAGCCGATCTTCACACAAACGCATTGCTGTGCATTGCCGTTGACTTTGATCAACTGCATGCTATGCAGAGAACATGCAGAGAATGGAGCTGGACGGTTCAATCTGTCCAAGGAATGTCATAAGAGCAATATCGGCCCGATTGCAGGCTGAGTGGGAATTGGCTCTTCCTTCAAATGAGTGGTTTCGATCTTCTTCGCAGATCCTGCGCCGCCCCTTGATGCAGCAGCATTGCATCGATAGCATTGTCTTGGACACAGCTCGCCAATGGCCGCTTCCAATTGGAGGACGATTTTTCTGGTGCAGGTAGCATAAAAGGTTAGCTGAATTATTGGGGCTGGAATCCGGGCGGGACCAGATAAAAGAGAAGCAAGGAAAAAGCCTGTAGCGGGGGACATCGTCAACGGAATATTTACTGCGGTTGCGAACACCTGCCTAATTTGTGAGCAAGAAATCGCTTGTGGGAACTCTGGCCACCCAGGGCGTGTCAAAGAGTATCACATTCCGTTTGAGGCGCAGGATCCAGGAAGGAAGGCATGTATGTCACACAGCATTCGTATTATGCTCGACTTACAGAACCGATTCTTGTGGTTTATGAATGCTATGAACGGTGCATAGGAGGTAGTTGCCGGATCCTAGGAGTCCGTTATTAAGTGATGCACGCGTGGTTTGAAAGAAACTCGGCCGGAGAGCATTTGCCCTGGTTCGAGGATGGCGCTGCGAGGGTCAATTGCCGAAGATCCAGTTTCGACCAAAGAGTTGGCCAGCAAAGGAATGGATCTAGAAAAGTGCCGAAGGGCAGGCGAACCATTGGCTGGTTGTTTGGAAATTCCCCGGAATGAGCTCAATTAATTCCCGAGTAGAATAGATTGAACTGGCTGCATGATCAGGTCTGGCTCGTGGCATCAGCCAGACCTCAAGGCAATAGTCCGCAATCGCAGGCATCCCGATCACCACCCCGCACATGGTTCCGTCATCAGTCCCTGCGGTATACGCTTATCCGGCGTGGTAAGTCATCGGACGTTGCGCAAAGTTTGAGACCCTGTTCTTGCAATAACCCGTTAAACGATGTTTCAGGTCGATATTTTAATTTCTCCAGGTGCTCTTTGAAATGTGGAGCCTTCTTGACCTCGACGGCCGTCACGTACGACTCCCAAGGATGCATTTCCAGAACGAGATAGCCGCCGCTAACAAGCGACGACGAGCACTTGCGAAAGAATCTCACCAAGCCCTCATCTAAGTGCTCCAGATGTAGCCACTTAATGACACTTAAGGCCAGGATCACGTCGTATGGACCAGCAGTAGCCGGGTTTGCTAATACTACCCAATCCGAGGAGATAAATCTCACGCGAGGCCATTTCGAAAGGGCAGGAGATGGGGGGAAACGATAGCCATACTTTAACACAGCAGAGGTTGGGAAGTAGTCCACTATTTGGTCGGCCTCATCGGTGCGGGGGCGAATACATGAAGAGCGGAGTGCCACCAGGTCTTCGGCCTCGCTGACGAGCTTGGGATCGATGTCCACGCCTGTGACGGAAGCCGCGTCGAAGTCGAAGGCTGGGAACTCAATATCAGTAAGGTGGGAATAATAATCGCTTACAGAGTTAGCCGGGGTATCCCATCATACTTACCAAGTTGGCAAGACACGGCTCCAGTATTGCAGCCGACGTCCAGGCAAGACTTGGCTTTGAAAAGTCCTGGGATCAGGCTCTCAAGCAAGGTCAAACGGGGATCTCGGACGGAGGCAGATGGGGAAGAACCTGGAAAATGGCGCGCAGAACCGTGATAGCCTTCAGGCGCGGATCACGGCGTGGTCAGCTGGAGGAATAATTGCCGGATGGATGTGGAGTTCCAGATGAAAAGAAAGTAAAATAAAGTGCGACTCACCATGATAATTGCCCCAATTAGTGGCAGTAGCCATGGTTGGTGAGGTTGATGGTTCACGGCAATGGCGTTGATCGCCGTCGGGAGTTTTTCCACGGGTTAGTCTGTGTGTGGTTGTGTCCAGGTGATTGTCGGGTCGATCTCAGGTAGAGAGGACGCTTGGATGGAGACTGCTCGGACGACTGCTCGCTAGCATTCATGGGTCCATGGCGAGCAGGTCCAGTGCTGGATGTTGGGGCTGGGGGGGGTCGGTGGGTGATGAGACATGAGACATGTTTGCAGGTGAATGGTGGCTCACGTAAGTGGCAGCCCACCCACGCCCAATTCCAAGCTTTTGCTACACTCAATTTTGACGACCACTCCTTCTGCCAGTAGGCAACTATCTTGGTAAAACACGGAACACAGCACCTGCGGGAGACTTGGACGCGTACCTGCGCCGATTAGGCACGCTCAATAAACACTGACCTACCTGAAGCGACAGTTCAATCAATAGTGAGCGGCGCTAGCCGTGTAGATCCCGAATAGTGGTTAAGGTGCTTGTGTAGCGGGACCGGATTGCTTGCAATATGGCTCCTGCTTTCAGGCTGGACACGATGTACGCGGATGGTAGTACAGACATTTCAAAGGCCGATATATGGCTCTTTTTCACATAGTCCGGCTGAAAGCGGAAATCACCACCGGCTACGACGCACCCTCTGAGCGCTCAGCGTTGCAACTTGTTACTCGCCATGGCCGGGGGCAAAGCCATGGTTTATGCCTGCCAATCCCATCTGGTTGAAGAAATGCTGTGGCCAGTGTTCACCGCTCTAGAAAGGTGGGGAAGCGAGGCTTTTCGGCTGCGCGATGTGATAGTTGTGAGGGATGTGATATGTCACCTTTGGTGTTTGTCTCGTCTCCAACTCCACACTCGAGCACGCCGGCCGCATCGAGGCAAGCCGTCAGCCACTGACGAGCCAGGCCGACGAGAGAGTGGGAGATTGCCGCGGCCAAATGGCGTGCCGATTGGATGTCTGGCAGAGGCAGACCGAGCAGACCAGCACCCAGGATTTGCGCTTCGAGTGCCGCGCTCCTACCTAGGCTCATCTCAAGTCGAAAAGGGTGCGTTATGGGTGCATGACGGCCGTTGTCTGCAGGGCCCGCAGACCCGGGACACGGAGGCCGTTGTGAGTGGTGTGGAGGGCCAGGAGGATTTCTGATGCCAGTCTGGGACGCGCACGGACGACGTTGACAAGCCCGTCCAGGGCGTCGATGCATCATCCATGGAGTTGCCGGGGCATGCGTGGATCCGAGAAGCCACACCTGGCCGAAGACAGTCGTCACGGACAGCAGGAGAGACAGCTGTTGCAGAGCAAAAGACCGGGCTCCCAAGCAGGGCGAATGTGACGGTTTTAGCCGCGAGAAGAGCAGCCCACTGATTCGCCCAGACCAGCACTTGACAGATCGCTGATTCCTGGTTCTTAACGCAGCCACGTCCAGTACCCACATCACACCCGTCATCCGCTTTCGAGCAGCGCTCCCCAAACCAGCAAGGTACGTTGGGAGTGAGAGTCGCGGGTTGGCAGGCAGGCAGGCAGGGAGAGAGTGACCGTCTTCCGCCCACTCCTGGCCGCGGCGCCCCCAATGCTACGCTGGACCGTGGCCGTCGCCCACAGTGACAGTACTGAAATGAGCAAGCCCGGAGTTACATACAGTAACATGGCAATCTAGCGATAATTGCTCCAAATTGGCCGGCCCTCGGGACACAGTGTGCGACTGCAGCGTCGAGTGATTCGAAACACCTGCTTTACCCGTCTGGCTTCGCCGCCTGCGAAACCTGGGGAGAGCCGCAGTTTGTCGTTTTATCCGGGCGCGAGCCTATTCGGTGGCCACCCACGAAAATACAGCATCCCGCTCCCCGACGACAGTGGACGCTGGACGGCCGCTAGACTGCATCCACGCCCACGAACAGAGACCAGCGGTCGACCGTTGAGACCAGACCCATCACTTCTCTCTGCCTCACTGCGTGGACACTCCACGCTGTGGACGCCGCCACTGTGCCCGCATATTTAGGCCGGCATCATCCCGACCGGGCTTTTCCTGCGCGCAAACTGCTCATCAAGAGCCAGACAGCTCACATCGCGCGTCCCGGCTCTCGATATCACCACAATCAACTGCCAGCCCACGCCTGGGATTCTGGGGACTACACACGTCCCGCCAAGCACCCGGATCCACGCACCGCACCGCCAATTGCGGCGGCTTCTGCTCCCCTGGCCTAAGCCCCGACTCGGCTGCTCTGCCAACGGTGCTGGTGCTGGTGCTGGTGCTGGTGCTGGTGCTGGTGCTGGTGCCGTGCTCTCGCGGCCTGCCAGGTGCGTCGCAGATGTTTGGCGTGAGGCTTGCCACTTAAAGCTGCCCTGCAGGCCCTCCCCGGACACTGCATCCCCGTCCCATCCCGGAGCCCGTTGTCTGAGTCTGAGGGCTACCGTAACTGAATGAAGCACCCGGTCGGCGATCTGGCTACTGGCGATCCAGATACGTGCAGGCCCTTCTACAAGGGGGCACATCCTCTATAAACCTCTCACGCCGCCACACTCGAGGCAGTGCCCACATTCCTGACGTCCTGTCCAACCTTTGCACCACTCCCTGGCACTCCCAATTTCAAAAAGAGCCTCTGAATTGAACACAAGCCGTGCTCCCAATGCGGCTTCGTGCATTGTGTCCAGTCCCGGACAAATAATAATACACGCATGTCCCAACCACCACCTCCTCCGCCGCCGCTACATCCTCCAAATACAGCCCGCTCTCCCCCAGACATGACAGAAACTCAGAAGTTGCCCGTCTTCTCGCCGCCCGGCTTCCTTCACTATCACCGCCGCCTACCTCAGCCTGTGCATCTCCCGCCGCTCGAGATTCCCCCAGATACTGTACCACCACGCCCGGAATACGCTTTCCGCTCGCCCATCAACCAATTACCCTCAATCCAGCCAGGCCCTCCACTACGCCACCAGCACCAGCAACCCTCACATCTCCCAAGGCCAGCAGCGCCCGTCGACAAGTTATTGCACGCAAATCCGTACACGCCGCCCAGGTCGGACCCTCCCTACTCTCCCCAACAATATGGACCGTCAATTTCACCCCGCTCAGAGTTTGACAGTAGGGGGCCGAGGAGGCTCGCCGAGCAACGCTACCCCTACGAAGAATCTCGACCGGGACCTCCGCATCATGACCAGCCATTCGCGTCCCTTGCTTCGCCAGTAGAACCGTCGCAGCAGAAGGCGTATGCCCCGCTTCCATCACCTAGCTACACGCCGAGTTATGCGTCCAGCAGCACTCCATTCCGGGGATCTGTGGGCTCACAGTCACACCCACACTCACATCGGGGATCCGTAACTGCTTCCTTGGGGCCACTAGCGTATCCTGAACCTCCGACTTCCGGGCCTCCTCCCCGGCAAGAAGTCCGCGCAATCCCGTTACCTGGGACCATACCACAGCCTGTGTTGAACGAGAAACTGTAAGCATGTTCTGAATCCTAATATGGTAGTGGAAACCCAAACTGATCGAGGCAGGAACCTCAATTATGAACTACGGGTTCGGCAGCAACCCATTGCAGCTCGAGCGTGCGGCTTTGGTGAACGAGACCGACGAGTTATCGACCCACCACCAATCATCCAGCTGCTAGTTACAGACCCCAAAACGGGCGTTGCAGAGCAGGAAGAGCTGCGGTACTCGTTGAATGTTGTGCATTGTACGCTTTGGAATGCAGATGGGACGAATGAAGAGACGGCACTCATCCAGCCTGATCGACGAACGACACGGCGACTAATGGGCCAGCTAGTTGCATCTCCCTCGGTAGCCAAGGATGAGCACGACGTTGAAGGCTGCTTCTTCTGCTTCCCCGATCTTTCTTGCCGCACGCATGGCAAGTATCGCCTCCGATTCATTCTGATGCGCATCGATCCCATGAACTTGCATGTCGGAGGATACTCGCCGATACTTACAGAAGTGCTCAGTGACGTATTCACTGTCTACACAGCCAAGGACTTCCCTGGCATGCGCCCCAGCAGCGCTCTGACTCGGGCTTTGAAGCTACAGGGATGCAATATCCAAGTGAAGAAAGGCAACGAGAAGGCTCTGGCTCGCAAACGACTTACCGCTAGCCAAGAGCACGAAAATGACGACGACGAGGATTTAGGCAAACGACGGCGCAAGGAGTAATTCCACATGTCTGGCTTTTCGGCCTCATGATGTTTCGGTGCAGATTTTATTAGGCATGTATCTGATTTAGAGCACCTGGGTGGCGACTTTGATATTCTGGATATCTGAAAACATTGTTTGTCGGATATCACTGGCATACTTTTACGACCATACGAACGACTTTTTCTCATTTGTCTTTTGATTGGGGGAGAGGGGGAGGCGTCTGTTGAGCTTGTGTACACGATATGGATATTTCGGGCGGGGTCAGGAGGTCAGGAGGCGGCCACGGTGTAATGCATTTTGGAACGTTAACCGAGCATCAGACGCACGATACCAATTGATAGCCTTGGGCATTTTGGACAAATTGAACGTGGCGGTGATGGAGTGAGGTTGAAATTGAGATGAGAGCAGGATGATGGTCGCAAGCCCTCGTATTTTAGTGCGTGAGAGTCAGGGCTAGTCACTTCTCGGCAAACTCAGCTGCCCCACCTGACTGGCTAGGGCACGCTACAAATTTCTTTGATGGCGGCCGAGCGAACCTCTTCTCTTCCCTCCCCTTCCCCAAACCGCACACCGGCACAGAAAAGTCGATATGAAGTACGTGCTTGTGTCTGGCGGCGTCATCAGCGGCGTGGGGAAGGTAAGCGTGAAGATGATGAATTTGTATTGGTTAACGTGCTAACCGATGGCGCGAAGGGCATCATAGGTACAGACTCGACTGCGCGCGTTTGTTAAGTATGCAAACTAATCCCACGCGTCCTAAGCCTCCTCGACGGGCCTCCTGCTCAAGACGATTGGCCTCAAGATAAGTGCAGCCGCATGACGCGCTCTGCGTGTTTCCTGACTAACAGACTCGCACGTCTCGTCCATCAAGGTGGACCCGTACCTCAATGTCGACGCGGGGACTATGAATCCGAAGGAGTGTGTGATCATGGAGTCCCAGACGAGCTCACCGCGTTGACTGAGACATTGCAGGCACGGTGAAGTGTTTGTCCTCTCCGACGGCGGCGAAGTCGATCTCGATCTCGGCAACTACGAGCGCTACCTCAACATCACCCTCACGCGCGAGAACAACATCACGACTGGCAAGATCTACGAGCATGTTATCCAGCGCGAGCGACGGGGTGACTACTTGGGTAAAACTGTGCAGGTTGTCCCGCATATTACCGACGCGATCCAGGATTGGATTGAGAAGGTCGCGCGTATCCCAGTTGACGATACGAATGAGGAGCCGGATGTGTGCATTATCGAACTTGGAGGCACGGTTGGCGATATTGAGAGCATGCCGTTTGTCGAGGCTATGACGAGCTTAAGGCGGAGGGCGGGAAAGAATAACTTCCTCCAGATCCATGTATCGTATGTGCCCGTCATCAATGGGGAGCAGAAGACAAAGCCGACCCAGCAGGCTATTAAGGCTGTGCGGAGTGCTGGCCTGATTCCGGATCTGGTACGTTGTCTATTTTTCACATCCGAACTTGTATTTTGATCTTCTCCAGATTGCCTGCCGCTGCGAACGCGCCCTCGAGCCCTCGGCCGTGGACAAAATCGCCCACTTCTGCCAAGTCGACGTCGAGCAAGTCGTTGTAGTCCGAGACATGCCATCCATATACCAAGTCCCCATACTCCTCGAACAGCAGGGTCTTATCGAGCTCCTCCGCCCCATCCTCAATCTCTCCTCCCTCACCCTCCCACCAAACCTCGTGGCTAAAGGCCGCCACACCTGGGCACAATGGAAAACCCTCACCTCAACTGAAAACCGCTTCTTCGACACCGTCACCATCGTCCTCGTCGGCAAATACATCGAACTCCATGACTCCTACCTGTCCGTCATAAAATCCCTGGAGCACTCCGCCATGCGCTGTCGTCGCAAGCTCGACCTTCAATGGGTTGATTCTGAGCACCTGGAATCCAGAACCGGCAACTCCGATCCCGCTAAATTTCACAAAGCCTGGCACTCGCTGTGCACGGCGTCGGGTATCCTGGTACCGGGTGGTTTCGGCCAACGCGGCACAGAAGGCATGATCGCGGCTGCGAAATGGGCCCGCGAGAACAAGACGCCGTATCTTGGGATTTGTCTGGGTATGCAGATTGCAGTTATCGAAGCTGCGAGGAACTGTTGCGGTCTGGATTCCGCTACGTCGGAGGAGTTTGATGCGGATGCAAAGGACAAGGTTATCATGTTCATGCCGGAGGTCGACAAGAAAACAATGGGCGCAACTATGCGGCTAGGCTTGCGTCCCACGCTCTTCCAACCCGGATCCGAATGGTCACGCCTCCGCGCTCTCTACGCAGGCAATACGGAAATCCTGGAGCGCCACCGGCACCGGTATGAAGTCAATCCGGCATATATCGAAACGTTGGAGAGAGGGGGTTTGAGCTTTGTGGGCAAGGATACGCAAGGTGAGAGGATGGAGGTGGTGGAGATTCGGGAGCATCCGTGGTTTGTGGGCGTGCAGTTTCACCCTGAATATTTAAGTAGAGTGTTGGATCCTAGTAAGCCGTATTTGGGGTTTGTGGCGGCGAGTGCGGGTGTGCTTGGAGAGGTTACGAGGGAGGCGGGGAATGGGAATGGGATTGGAGGAAGCATGGAGGGATTGGTGAATGGAGTTAAGGGATTGGGTGTTAGTGAGGAGGGGCCGCTGTTTTAGGGATATGTGAAACATTGGTGGGTGGCTGTTGTGGACTGATTGTTTCACTACTCAGGACAGGGTATGCGGGAGTTTGGGCGGCCATATATTATTAGAGAAGAATCTGTCTTTCGTTTGACGGGATTCCGGACAAGTAGACATATCAAGCGCACTTACTACCCCAGCTAGATATTTATAGTTAGAGTCATCTGTAACAATACACGATAGCAGCAATCGAACTCTCTCTAGTACAACAACACAAGCTCCAAGTGTAAGTTTAGCTCTGGGGGTGTAGAGCGTGCGGTGACGCAGCAACTCATCTAAATAGAAATCCTAGTGAAGTGAGTTGGCAACTAGGAGAGAGTCATCCCAGTAGAATTTACGTGATGGGTTTATTGTGTGTATTTAGCAGGTAGGTGGGGGGGTGGAGTGGAAAGGAAAGCAAGGAGATTAGTGGACACATGTGTGAGGAGGTGGGGGCTTGCTATGAGACGAGATGCGATGGATCAATCATCGAGATGTCGCATAATATCAAGAGGGGTGTAAAGTGTTCAAGGATGACAAGTACACGAATGAATATATTTCGTACATTTGGTGGATGGTGGGAATGAAAAATATTGAAGTGCGAGAAGGAGGATAACGGAGGAGTGGGTATGCGTAGTTGTATTATTACTCCTGTTGCTATATGCATACAGAGAGATGTTGTAATGTAGGTATGTACGTGTATATCTATCCACCATTCCTCTGCTCCAGAGTGCCATGCTAACCGTCGAAAATATAAACAGTGGAAGGGAGAGATGTAAAGATACTAACCCTTCTATTCCCTCCCTTCCCCCTCCGGATTCTTCAGCCACTCATCACAGCCCCCAATCGCCAAAGCGTCCATTCTTGATATCCCAAGACTTCTCTTTCCACCTTCCCAGACATCATCCTCCCACACCCACATCCCATCTATCGTCTCATCTCCCAAACCAGATACGGCCCAATGACCACACACGCCTTCCAAATAACCAGCAGACTCTCCACAAACACTACATACGGAATCCGCCATACCGGTCCCTCCACCATCCGTCTCCAAACCGCGTAAAATGCGACCGCAAAGAAATGATAAATCAACACACTCGGCGTCTTAATCAAGCCGGCCAACAACCCACACGGCTCACTCAAACACGCACCTCCCCGCTGGAAATACCGAAAACATCCGTTTTGTAAAGTGGAAAGTGATGCATCGTTTGCCGCGAAAAGGGAGTACAAGGCCATGGCTAAGATGTTGATGACGGAGGAGGAGGCTTTGCGGGACCAGTGGAAGCGTGACATTTGTCGGACAACGAGGTCTGTTTTCTCCAAATCGGGGATGTGGTCGGGAGAGAGCAAGGTTGCGAGTAAATCGACATCGTTGAATGCGACTGTCATACCGCCTCCTGTGAGCGGATGCCGCATGTTCATGGCATCGCCCAGGACGATCAAACCCGGCGTTTTCTGGGTTGCAGGCGGGAGGAAGGAGTTCGGCATACTCCGCAACTTCCCCTCTTCCAGCGCCTTTTTGAACGAGGGTTGCACAGAGGGGGGAAGAGCGGGTAGGGTTACATTCAGCATGTGGCCTTTCACGCCGCCGTTCTTGGTGCTAGCTGTGGGTAAGTTTTCGGGTATGTCGATGAGGATGCGGGTTTCATGGGTGCCGATTTGGTAGATTAGGATCGGAGGGCCGTCATATAGAATCACGTGGCCGTGATTTGGACAAGGGAGGTCCGCATCAATGAGTTCCAGGGCGAAGAATTTCGAGCGAACCTCGGGCGTGTATGGAAGGTAGGACTTGCGGAATTTGGAAGCGTAGCCGTCGGAGATGAGGGTTAGGCTGCCGAAATAACAGTCTTTTTGCCCGGAGGTCAAGCATTCGACGCCCAGGATCTGGTTTGTCCATCCGTTTCTGACAACGTCAACGACAGTGGATTCGATGACGGTGACGTTTGGTGCAGCTTTAGCGCGCGCTCGTAGTTTCTGAATGAAGCGTCCATGGTGGAAGGAGCGACCTTCGGGGCGCTTGGATGAGGGTGAGGTTTGAGGGTAGGGGATGTGGACGGGTTCGCGGAAGTACGAGACTTGGTAGCCGTAGCAGGGGACGGCGTCGATGCCCTCAAGGCAGTCTAAACTTATGATTAGCAATCGTGTCCCTCATCTACAGCCGCAACCACAACCACAACCAGAGCCACAGCCACAACCAGAAATCCGCCAAGACCAAGGAAAATAGAGGCAATCCATACCGTCAAGCCCCAACCTCTCCAACGCGTGCACACCCCCCGGCTGCAGCAACTCCCCAACAATGCGATCCGGCTCCTTGAGGCTCCTCTCCAGCAAAATCACACTGCGTCCCTGTTTCCCAAACGCGACTGCGGCTGCACATCCCACGACTCCAGCGCCCACAATTACAATGTCTGCCTCGTGGTGCACGCGGCGGCGCACTTCGCGGTCGTCGTGCGTCGGTATGGGATCAATTTTGACTCTGGCGCGGGATTTGGCGTGCGTCATGCTGGTGGAGGCAGAGGTAGAGGTGGAGGAGGCGGCGGCGGCGGAGGCGGCAGTGGTAGGGGAGAGGGTCGTGGTTGTTGTGGTGGAAGACATGGTGCCAGATTCCTTGTTCAGGGAGGCGAGATTCTAGAAGGTGAACAGGACCACAACTAATCTAGTGTAACCAATCTCTCTACAGAATAGGCAATGACATACACCCACAATCACAATCACGTGAGAGTGTAGGACAGATCTCAGGACCAAGGACCGTGCAATTGCTCCTCGAGTGGTGGTGATAAGCAGAGGGTGCTGTGTTGTTAAAAGAAAGCCGTTGGAGTTGAAGGCGGTCAAGTTCGTAGCGCCGAGACTTGCAGGGACCCAACGCCAGGGATCAGCCAACACCGCCCTTCTGGTGCCATGGACACGTGAAGATCGGAACAGCCAACCATAATTCGCGCTGATCGGACGACCATTTCCACTCCATTGATCAATCACAGCAAGTTCTTCCGATACGAACGAATTATCTCAATTCTTCTTTTGGCTTGTGAATATGCAGTGGGTATAATCGGATCCTGTAATTGAAAGCTGCTAGGTGGTTTGCAGTGTTGAGTGTTTTGCACCTAGCGGTATATGGTGTAATAGAAATTAAGGAATATGCAGTAGTGCACGATAAGTAATTGTAGAACCGTCCGATCATCCTCCCAAGTTTTGGTGTCCATCCCATGCGTGTAGTTGACCTTGGACATGACGCGTTCAGTCCTCCAAAGCCCCCTTTTCTCTCGTCATAATCCCGACCCGCCATTCGTCACCCCTTCCCTGGCCCAACCAACGTTACGTCTACATCTTCCATCCATCGTACACCCTTCCTCTTGGAAAACTGAGCAGAACCGAAAGAGACAGCGTGGAACACGTGAAACGATTCTAGACAGAAGAAACGCCATTCGCTGTGCAATGCCCGTGCGCACACTACGATGCTGAGCTGACTGAAGGAAAAACCAAATACGACAATGACCAACCAACATTAACGAACGCTGAAAGCTTGGTGTTTCACAAGCCCGAGCCAGCGCTTATTCACACCTCAACTCTTCATTTCTTTTTCTTTACAGTGCCATGCCAGGCTGATTGCTTGACGACGGAGGTAATGGTGACGCCATTGGTGATGGAACTTCAACAATGGTCGGCTGCGTTAGATTTAGTTGATTCGGTCTCTTTGGCGCTTCAGTCTTCTGCGCGACGCCGAATTGCGAATGGCGATAATACGCATCGTAGAACTCGCTAAACCGTGGGTCATTGGTCGTCTGGTTGCTTTGTGACGACCCCGGTGCCTGAAGCGAACTCGAGGCGCTGCGACGACGCGGATCTTTAGGTGGTATAGGTGCTGCGATCGAATTTCGACTCGAGCTTTCAGGGAAGGAATAGTTGTAGGAGAAGGTAGACGTAGTCGAGTTGGACCGCTTATGCTGGTGCGAATTCACTCCCTTCTCACTATACACACTGCTTGCGTCACTCATATCCCGTTGATGGGTCGGTTGGTAAGTTTGTGGCTGGAGCCGTACGGGAGATGATGACCGCTCAGGTTTTTTGGGGGCTTCACAAAGTCAGGATTGCTCCTTGCATTTAATCTAATTTACACCGCACCAAAGAAAATTTACCTACTGGCTTGCCCAGCTCCTGCCTGTCCAGCGCTGTTCCTTGGGAGGGAATCTCGCCGGTCAGAGTAAGCAGGGAAGAGAGAGCGAGGCTCCTCTCTGTAGACCTTGGCTGGCATCGTGGGCACATTAGTTTCTGACGTATGGCCGGGTGATGGGGGAGCACTGTGGCCGGGGGAATGTCCTGGTGATGATTCGTTGAAGGATGCTGCCTGGGATTTTGCAGTGACCTCTGGATGGTGGACGGAGGCACGAAGCCCCTCATGCATCGGGGTTTGTGGGGGAACTGGAGAGTAATGATCAGGCTTGAAGTTGGCTGAGTGGGGCGATAGAGATCGTGGAGAGGCATTTCCATCGCTTGATTCGTCGTCAGATCCAGCAAAATGAGGAGATTGTGGCGGTCGAGCAAGGACTGGCGACGGCGGTACCATCAAGTTCATGTTAACAGAAGCACTGTGGTTGATTCTTCCGTTCATCTCTGCTTCTGACGGACGTAGCTTGATGGTGGGCGGCGACTTTCTCCGCGGTGGCGAGTTAGATGTAGGTAGCGTTTGGGAGTCACGGGCGCGGTCTGCCGTATGGGCAAGCGGGAGACTGGTCACACTGCTTGATACAGAGTGCGACTGAATCTTAGGAGAGGCCAAGCTACCAATCAGCGTATTGGAGCTCATCGAAGGCGCCCCAACAATTGATCCTGCTGATGATCCGGGACGCGATTGGGGAATGCCAGCGTAGAAGCCTGCTTCGATGGCTCGAATACCGAACAGGTCGCCCTCATCCTTCTCCCGTTGATTCAACTCCATCTGTTCATCTCTCTTTCCGGCCTCCACATTTTCTTGATTCTTTGTGAAGTTCTTCAGTCTAGCTATCTGTCAGTAAAGCCTCAGTCTTCATACATGGTGACACTCACTGCCTGCGATCGTAGAGCACCTTGATCACTCCAGCTGCAATGGTAAAGACAAGTAATGACAGAAATACGATGCTGCTCCAGTTAGCATATCTCTCTCCAAGCGCGCTCTTCGTGAGTACTTACGTGTACTTGTAAGCCAAGTCCAAATTGCCGAACCAAGTCATTATGATTAGCTATGGTGACTCCACACTTCAACAGGAACGAAAGACTTGAGCGCCGGGCTCCCACCAAGGAGAGAGCGCAGAATAATATTGAGCAGAAGAGAACAAGTGAAGCTGAAGTGAAACGGTTGAGGGTCGTCCTGCAGGTGATGTCTAGGTTTCGGTAGGAGACACGAAAACGGTAATAACGACGGATCAGGAGGTTCCAGAGTACTCAATCGGTCCAACGTGTGTTACCCTGCAGGATAGTGTTTCGGATATAACTAGAACTGAACCCAAAGGAACGGTAGGATGTGACTATAATAGGCGCAATGGAGTCCGAAGGGCCAGGGGGTAGGGGGTGTCGTGTGAACGAGGGGACGTGTGGGCAAACCCAAACACTGTTGAAAGAATGACCTTGCGAAGAGCACACAGAAATGAATGAAGACCCGGTGTGGAAGGAGAATGAGAGGTGTGACAAGGGCAGGAGGGCTAGGTAAAGAGAGCCACGACGAGCACAAGGACTAGGGTCATGGAGGGGGTGGATGCCAGCACCTTTTGGGCATTCTTAGTAGTCACGATCTAAAAGCGGAACGAAGGCTAGATCTCATTGCACGTCCACGTAGCGAACCCTGGCATCCAACCATGGCGTGCAAGCTGCGCAAGCATAGTGGGCCGGAGCCAAACGGGAAGACTGCTCGCATCATGCGCTCGCCTCCCGTCCTTGGATGTTTGATGGCCAGATCGACCGTCTCGCAATGTGGTCCAGAGGCTGGGTCTCAAAATTTTCGTTGGGAGCTTCGACTTACGCAAGAGAGCATTGCGCAGAGGCATGTCTCTCGCCTTCTGAGGAGCCGCTGCCGTTGTCATCCCTCAATGCAGGGCGCGAAGTTTTGCAGCGTCAACCTGAGCCCATGCAACCAATCCAAGGATGTCGAGCCCTTGGTCGGCAATCTGGGCGACCAAGGTTTGGATGGCAATTACCAAGGCAGCCTCTTTAGGAAGAGAAGTCATTATGCCATGATGTGATTCGTCTTTCGTAGGGCGCTCGCTCAGGGGGCCATGCGGGGACGTATCAGGAACAGGCAAGGCGGCTGCTGGAATGCAGCCGCACGAGCCCACTGCAAATGCTTGGCAGGGGAAAGAAACACGACCTCCGGAACCTAGGTTCCATACAGGATGGCAAAAAAAGTAAAAAGGAGGCCGCCGGAGCTGGGAAAGGCGCGCTGAAAGACCAGTAGAAGCCCGCACTGACGGCACGGCGTTCTCTCATGATCCCGCATGCTATTCCAGAGCCGCCACCTCCCGTCACTGCTCTCCTTCACCTGGCGAGTCGCAGCCGACGTCGACGTGACTCGTCGCATTGAAGCAGAGCCTGGGCTCACTTTTTTCCGGTCGCTAGCTAGGAAGGGCAGGTCGGTCCTCGGCACCGAAGGAGAACTTGACGATGTTTGATATGAAAAGCACGACAAAAAGTGACACGGCATCTGCAGACTGCGTGGTTCTGCTTCACACGCTTACCGGAAGGGGACGTGACAGCTGCAGCATGCTTTGGCGAAAGTCAGACGGGCAGCAGGAGTCCGTCAGGAAACCGTGACTGCTCGCATTTGGATTCTCTGCATCTTGGAGGAGTCGTACGACGGGACAACGGAAGTGAGTTTGATGGAGTTCGCATTGAGCTGCGAAACGAGTTTTCATCGCCCAAGCTCTCAGCCACAAGTCCAGAGGACGTCCACTCACATTCCAACTCTCATGCCGACCTTCGCCAGCTATAACTCCCACCTGTTGGATGTGGTAAAGTTGCCCTGTTTTTTTGTTTTGTTCTTGGGGTTGGCATTGCAAATCGTTTGGGGAGTCGAAATGCCATGGCCCAGTGAAACCCCGTCGCGAAAAAGCAGCCTAAGGCGTAAGTTCAGCGGCTTCCCCGTCTGCTAGAGAGTCCGCTCGTATTCTAAAGCCACTGTTCAGAACACGGACCTGCCAAGCTCTTGCAATTCCCTCAATAAACACCACCCACTCTGTTGTTCCTAGATCTTCTAAGAAAGATGACGCTTACTTGTTAGTTTGGGTTGACTTAACCCTAGCTTATGCCCTCCGTCGCTGACATGCACTGAGTCGTACTAATTGGGCGACTATTGATGCTTCAAACCGAGGCCTGATAGGATTTGGAATAAGCGAACCCAGAGTTGGCGTCAGGCAACCTTGTTTTAGGATGAGAAAAGAAAAAGGAGAGGAAAGTGCCGAACCGCGGAATATAAAGTCTCAACTAGCTACCCGAACAAACCGAGCGACTTAGAAGGCTAGCTGAATTTGCTTCGCTTGCGGCCTCATCAATTGTCTTGTGTCGGCCCCGTCGTCTCGCTACGTTTTCGGTAGGGCGATCATGTTGGCTCTGCTCATCGCCTCGCGAGGGTATTTTGAGGGCTTTTGTGCTTTTGGCCGCCATCGCGCCAGGAGATTAACTTTCATCGTATCGATCGGACCAACGGGAGGGCGTAACGCTATTGAACAAGTGGAGGTGCAGAGTGAGGTGCATCTTCAGCTGGTTGTCTTTTTTCAAAACCAGCGTGATGAAGAAGGGCGCCAAGTGAGGCTCTTAGCGCACAACTCATGATGCGTTTCGTCATAACTGCCCCTCCAATGAACTGAACCTACCATTCCACCTGTTGTCCACGGCCTTGAAAACTTATTATTTGTTGAGTCTCACGCTGACCATCATGTCCTTAAATAAATCGAGAGTTCTTCGAACAGAACCGTTGGTTAGTCTTTTCGTGCACCGTGAATGAGGTGGAGTCCTGACTGCGTTCAGGACTACAAGGAAGCGAAGTGGGCAACATTGGTCAAGTAGGTCAAGTTTAAATGTTTGATGTAGCCATTTACTCCCTACTTTCAAATCAAGTCTGCCTCAAATGACCACTAAATACGTCCAGGACAACTTACACTGACCCGGAAGGTGTTGAACGCACCTGGGAGTCTTCCGAACGTCTCACCCGCCCCGCTGGCTCTGATATCGATGGTGTTGGTGTTGTAGCTATCCTTCAGGATCCGTCGAAGCCAGAAAGCGAACCACGAATACTCCTCCAGAAGCAATGGCGTCCGCCCGTCGATGCTACCGTTATCGAGGTGCCTGCTGGCTTGATCGACCCGAAGGAGACACCCCAGCAGTGTGCTGTACGCGAGTTGAGGGAAGAGACAGGCTATGTAGGAGAAGTCGTGGATGGTGGCTTCGGAGTGAGCCCCGTCATGTTCAATGGTGAGTTACTTCCTCTGATTGTTCTTAGTAGCCGCGATTGTTGCGTGCGTTCATTATTCTCGTGGTTATTTTTCGTAGAGGCTTTCCACACCGCCGTCGATTATTTCATCATTAAGGGCGATCCTAGAGTGACTGACCTGTCCTCGGTTCGGCTCTTGGTGTTTGTCTGCAACCACTATCTTCCATTGTGCCTTAGAGTTACGGCGGATTGGTCTCTTCCCTTTCCGTTTTATACTCCCTTCACATCACTTCTTACCCGTCAGCCCAGGGTTCTATAAACTAACATACCCCAGATCCAGGTTTCTGTAATACAAACCTACGAATGATCCACCTCACAGTCAACCTCTGCCTTCCCGCAAACCAAAATCCTCAACCCGAACTCGAAGATAACGAATTCATCGAGACCTTCTCTATTCCTCTCAAAGACTTATGGGCTGAGTGCAGGGAATTCGAGAAGAACGGATATGCTATCGATGCGAGGGTGGGAACATTAGCTGAAGGGGTAGAGTGTGCTCGGAGGTGGAAATTATAATGGTGATGATTTGGAAGTATTATGGCCTGTAGAAAGAGACAGTCTGGCACCATCCAAGAAATGGGCATGTCTAGTGGTCTAAATAAAATCAAAACTGAACTGTACCAAATGAAGCGCGTCCACAGCTAGTAATCTGTGTTTAATGCTCGTCAGAGAGACGGTCCAATGACCTGCATATCACCGCTTGTGTGGAAACTCGGCACACCCTCCGAACCGATACCCCAGAAATAATCCAAACAGCTACAAGACGCACAAAGCCCCCTCCGACTCCCCGCTACCCTACTCACTACCCTACTCCATCTACTCTCCACTTGAATCCAGATACGCCACAAACTTAGGCTTGATGTCATGCTGGCCCGCCCTCTATCACCGTCTTCCTACTCAGCTCCTACTTCTCCCAACATAATTCCTCATTCTACCAGCCTATGTCTTCAATCCCATCCTCAACACCTCGTTCTCGGTCTTTGGCCTCTCAATCTCACCTCTCTCCATCTCTATCCTCGCAACCTCCATCCCCCTTCCATACTCCCCTATGACCCTCTTAACACATTCAAAAATAGCCCTATCTCCCATCCTCACCCCTACTCCATCTATCACTTCAAAATCCTCCGCATACATATCCCAATCCACACCCCTCCAACTTTCACGCGTCGGATCCTCTATCGTAGGCGTCGGCCACTAGTACTAGAATACCTAATCGACGCGGTACTGCTTGCCTTGAGTCTCGCAGTAGTGCAGGAGGTCTAGGTCGAGTTCTTGAATGGTCCGGACTTGGATTGAGGTGTGTGAGAGGGGCGTGCTGGTGAAGGGGTCGCTGGCAGCGGATGCAATGAAGATGTGGAGAATCCGAATTGTTTGTGAAGGGGTCGAGGAGTGGGTGAGAGAGTTAGGGCGTGCCTGCGGTGGTGTTGGATTAGTTGCCGCCGCGGCCGTGTGGTAGGTGGTAGGATCTCATGGTGGTGCCATTGGATTTTATTTGGAGTTGTGGGGTTGAGAGGAAGTTAGTAGGGGGTCACATAGCTACGATAGCTGCAAACAGAGAGCCTGGAACTGTAAACACAGTGTCACGGGAACAAGTGGATGTGTAGTATTTCGCTGCCACTCCGCTATTCTCAAAGCGTAAAAACTAAGCAGATTGCACTGCATTTAGAAAACCAGGAAGTTCCCCTTGGTTTATTTATTCTGAAAAATGGACTAACCACAACTGAACATGATATTATGTTACGTAGGTATAATAGGCTCGTGGTTTGCTCACTATTATTGTTACGAAGGACTATAGAAAGTGTCGCATACAACTATCCGCCTATATATACCCTTCTGCTGTGCTAGCTGGAAGGTTGACCTTTTAGCAAACGCAACAGAAAATATATATCAATTCTATAGTGTAATTGTTTAGACCTTCGAGAGATTTTGGAATATATGTTATCTCTTAATGTGCTCTAAAATGTGGATTTCAGAGTGAAGGTTTGCAGCAGCCTGTGATTAATCTGCACTATTTCTTTGGGGCGATGTTAAGGCTTCTTACTATCACACAGAGCAAATTATTAGTTTATTAGGATGGGATTACTGTGTGAGGGTTATCACTACTCTCACTTTAAATAGGTTTAAAGCGGATATAAAGGACTACCAATCTCTCATGCTCCTTTGGAGTGGAGGAGGAACACCCCCCTAGGAGGAGTGAAGATTAGATGAAAATTATTTGGGATACCTTCTTGAGGTCACTACGAATTAAGCGTTAACTACATATGAATTATAGGAAGTCAGCTGTTTAAGAGAACAAATTAGCGCCAAATTTTCTTTAGCAATGAGGAAGTCATTACTAAAACTAACGTTTTGGGGAAGATATTGTAAGCCTGGAATGGGCATGATTTATAAGAGAAATGATGTATTGTGGATTGAGGGTCTGGGGAGCGAAATGATGTATATAATATGATAGGACACCAAACCGATGGTTGGCTGGGCAGCTGGGCATAGAGCCTTTGGGTTTACATATATTCTTCTGACCAGTGAATAGTTGTCGCTGAAGAGACATAGGATGGACGGTCAAACTTGGGAAATCCTTCACTGTGCGCATGTTCTCTAGAACGCTGAATTATCAGGGACGAGCATAGTTTCGGGGACTGGAGTACCGCCTAAGTTTTGCAATTGATGTTTTCACTTTTAGGATAACACGGATGGTATGAGACAATAAGTAGGAAGTCAGAGAGGTAAGGTGAAGTTGTTCGGAAGGACCTAATTGGGCCTAGCTTGCATACGGCCCGCTTCCGCGGTGTTCGGCACCACTTTCCCCCTCCTCCACTGATCCACATAATGTCGTTCCTCCCTCCCTTCAATTGAGGTCGAAGTTATCTCACAGCTATCATCCTCGTATTCAAAACAGTCTTCCTACATATCATGAGCATTGATGAGTCATGATTGATACCGTCCCATCAACTTCTTATCCCAAGAACTCCCTTTGAAGGAAGGCTGGAGCTCTCACAGCGAGACGAATACTAGGATTTTTAGAAGAGTCGAATGCTGGCCTTGGGGCGTTCGACAATATCAATCAGCAACAGTTGTGCAACTACATTCGACCTCCAAGAAACCCCAAAGCCTAGAATCTCACACACAGACATACATACACACAACGTGGCAAAGCGCTTGTGTTGCTTTCTTCTTTCCCGCATAGTGCGGCACAGCACTTGAACAGGGTGATAGTGATACAAAGGGAGCTCGTATTGCCTCCGCGCGGCATAACCCTCGAATAGCAGCGCAAGAGGGAGGAACAGTGGCTTCACAAGGGTAGTAGGATTAGCCGACCTTCCTGCATGCATATGCATGGTGAACGGACGATAAACTGATTGCAATTCCCCGCAGCATCCAGCGTCTTTGGATCTCTCCTATTTAATGCGGGCAACTTCTCTTTGCCCTTTGTCTATTAGGTAAGACGATAACTTCGCATTTAGCTTCACGTAAATCCAGCCACCTAAACTTCATTTGTCATCCCCCAGCGCCCTTAGCTTTTGGAGAACTATATCAATGTCTTACTCCACCCCAACTGCGATCATTGTTGCCCTGGGAGCATTTCTCCTCTATCGCTTCCTTCTATACCCTCTCGTCGTCTCCCCCCTTCGGCACATCCCTGCCGCCAATTTCATCTCCCGTTTCAGTCCCTTCTGGATTCTTTACCATCGTCGCAATGGGCGCCAGGCAGTCTCTCCAATCACGCACGCCCACACTAAAAATGGAACCGTTATTCTTGTCTCCCCCACCGAAGTCAGTGTCTCCTCCTTAGAAGGCGTCAAAAAGGTGTATGTCGAGAAAGGCGGATTTGGCAAGCCGAAATGGTGGGCTGAATTATTTCTCACTTACGGTGACGAGTTCCGGAATATGTCGAGCATGATTGGCGGGATAGGGGATAAGCACCATAGGACGAGAAAGGCGGATATCGGGAATGTGTATTCCAAGACGTATTTGTTGGGGAGTGCGGAGGTAAAGATGGTTGCTGAGCGAATTGTTCAGACCAGACTGTTTCCTGCTCTTGAGGAGGCTGTGAGAGAAAGAGAAGGCATTTTGGAGGTCTATGACTTCAATGGCGCCATGAATGCGGATTTGGGGAGTGGGTTGATCTTTGGGGAAGATGGGGGGACGCATTTCATGAAGGATATCTCGTCGAGGGACGGTTACTTCACGAATCATGCTACCTGGCTTAAAGATAGACCCGGAGCACAGGAGGCCAAGCATTGGATGGAAAAGTTCGGCCTGGAGAGAAGTGCTGCGGCTGAACGCCAGGTTCTGGATGATGAAGAGAAGCGTGGTCGAGGAGAAGAGAGGGGAAAGTTGTATCCAGTTGTGTACGCACAGCTTCGCAGTCGGGGACTAAAGGGCAAGCAACTAGCAAGCGAAACTTTGGACCATTTCCTCGCCGGTGCCGAAGGCCCGAGGACGACAGTGACCTATGTGCAATGGATGCTGTCAAAACGTTTAGACATACAAGCTCGCCTCCGAAAGGAACTCTCGGCCGTGTCGTTCCAACCCTCGTCAAACACAAGTCTTAGCAACAGCATCCCTGAGTTCAAAACCCTTGACGCCCTCCCTCTTCTCGATGCCATCATCACAGAGACCCTCCGCATTTACCCGCCCACACCAGGGCCAATGTTCCGCATCACACCGCCAGGTGGAACTACCATCGATGGTTATTTCATTCCCGGAAACGTGCAGATTAGCACCTGGGTCTCCGTTCTCCACCACAATCCCGATGTGTTTCCGAGAGCGGATGAATGGGAGCCAGATAGATGGATGAGCAAAAGTGAGAAGGATGACACAAGGGTAAATGAAATGAGACGTTGGATGTTCCCGTTCGGCGGTGGAAGTCGAATGTGTGTCGGCAAGGAGTTCGCTTTGTTAAGTGAGTTGGCTTAACCTCTGGAAACAAGCAGCCCAAAACTAATGCTCCGTAGCGATGAAATTGACTCTCGCAGCAATGTACTCCAGATACGAGACTTCTATCGTGGAAGACGATGGCATGGAACAGGAGGATTTGTTCTTGGCTGGGCCGGTGGGGGAGAAATTGGTTCTCAAATTTCAACCTCTGAAGTAGCCCTAGAGACATCTGGCATCTGACATCCAATATTCAAGGCCCACCAAACCTACTGATCCACACGAATACCACGAGAGGATAAATTGAGCAGATATTTTGGTTTGTTGTATTGTGTGATTGGTATTAAGAATTATCAAAACTCCCTCTAATGCGATTGTATATTCTATATCCATGCATGCATAGGCGTCTCCTCTCCGTTTTCAACCCCATCCCTATAGCAAAGCGAACCCAACAACCCCCACAGCCATTCCAAAGACCCCCTTCCCAGCAACCGCGAGCAGGTTCGCGGCACCAGTTCCCGCAGGCGCCGACGGATTCGCCGACTGCGAGCTCGGTCGCGTCACCGTGGCCGTAAGATTGTTGCCAGGTGCGCTCGTAGGACTTAGACCCCCCGTTCCAGTGATCTTCGGTGCAGTTGTAATCGTTGCAAAACTCGACCCCGAAGCAGATGCCTCCGCACTCGACGCTCCAGTCTCCTTCGCTCCTGACGCAGTCTCCACAATTGTCGACTTCACACTCACACCCCCGGCTGAACTTGTCTCAGCCGCGATAGAGATGAAACTAGGTTCGTAGCTCGCAGTCCCAGAATACTGCGGGCAACCGGGGACTGTGGTTTTTGGGGGAGCGCGGCCACCACCGCAGTCGAGGAAGGCGCAGATTTCGCCCGTCCCGGGGACGTAGTAAAGGAGGGATGCACCACCGTTAGTGATTACTTTGGAGGAGGTGCAGCCTGAGAGGTCGGTTTTGGCGTATGCCGAGGCGGCAAGGGCGAGGGTGAGGAGCGTGTAGTGCATTTTGAAGGTGGCTTATGTAATGAAGTTTGTAGGTAGGTGTAGGATTAAGTTGTTGTGTTGAGATGGTACTGGTATTGCGTAGATAAAGAGCGGAATAAAAGATGAGAGTCCTGAATTATCTACCGTAGCGAATGTAAGAACCTGTAAAGAGCGACTTAAAGTTGAAACACCGTATCAATATCGATAGAAGTATCGTGTGTGGGTTTCGACAATCAGGAGGGACAAACAGACATCTTATACCATCATCCAAACTGGCTCCGGCCGAAATCATCAACCATCAGCAAATTGCATAAACCCTCACCACTGGTAGCGTGTTCCGCTATCCCACAATAATCCCATAATCCGGTTGGTTCTGAAGCAAAGCTTTGATGCTTGCTTCGGTAGTTTTCCAAAAGCGGTTTAGGAACAGAAATTTCAGGAGAGGTGATTTCAGCCTCCCTGCGAAACACATTCCCTGCCTCACGCTTCTCTCAACTGCATGTGACTGGAGCCAGTTCTCAGAACGAGGTCTGGATTCAGTAGGAACCAGGTGCTTTGGGAATTATTTTTTTGCTAGATGTCATGATAATGGGATTATGGTTATCGATAGTTGTAGATCGAGACTCTCGAAAGTCCGCCCTTCCTTACAATTGCGTTGAGCAATGACTGACCGTTGCGGAAGCTAAAAGCTTAGTTTCCTCAGAGTCTGGACCAGACTCCTGAGACCTATTTTTGTCCGCCATCACGCTTGTGTTCATCTCCGTGAATGTTTCCGTCTCCATCTCCTAGACGCGTGGACTGAGGTGATTATTCGGAGACTTTACTTTCACACAAGATCTAGGACAGGGCTCTTAGTCGACAAGACGTAATATTTGTTCACTCAAAGAGAAAGAACAACGCCCCTGTGCGCCCTTCCCCTTTATGCCACTTGCAATTCCTCACAGTGAATCAAACACTCGACCTACACTACGCACCGCTACCCTGCTAAGCAAGATCTACTTCATCATGAGGAGCACTCCTCAGCTCTCCCAGCCACCATTTCAGCAACCCCAAACCTCCCACCCCAACACCCTCCAACAAAAAAGTACTAACTCGGAGTCAGCCACAATTCTCATAATGCACTATGAGATCATTTCTAAGACCTCGCCTCCTCAAGTTCCAACTCCAGCTCTCTGATCCGCTCATCCTTTTCCCTGTCGGAACTCTGCGACCCAACCTGGGCTTTCAGCCTACTGACTTCCCGCATCAGCAAAGCGATCTGGTCGGACTGGTCGGACATGATCTTGTTCTGAGACTCTAACATCGATTTGATATCCATCAGATAGTCTTTGATACCACTTACAGCGCTTGCAGCGGGTACCGTCGCGCCAGAAGTAATCGGAGTGGGTTCAGAAGAGGGAGGTGCTTTCGCAGGTGTTGCAGTGGGTGCGGGAGTACGTTTGGGGGGTTCTGGTTCTTTTGTGATTGTCGGACTGCGTGTCTTCTCTTCAATTCGTGTAATTGTAGGACGTTCGGCTGGCTTGGGCACCTCCTCGAAGCTGGATGTCTCGTCTTCTGACTCTTCTTCTTCCTTGTCGGCGTACCTGTCAGCCATGGTTGAGATAGACTCCTTGTTCTGGTTTACGGTTGGAGGGGGCGCGCGTGAAGCGACTGGGGCAGCCGCTGGAGCAGGCTTGGGTGGTTCAGTATGAGTCTTCGTGGGCGGCGGGCTCTGCAAAGGCGTGGATGCAGAGGGGGCCTTCTGATCTGATGAAACCTCTTCAGGCGCCCCGCCGTCATACAGGCTTTCCAAAGAAATTTTTGGAGGTAACGCCGTCTTTCCCGCAAACCATTCGGATGTGGTAGTCCCTGGCTTGAGACCATTGGTGGGCGGGTAGATATCACTCTGGAACATTTCAGATCTTCGAGGGACAATGAAGGAGACCGGCTCAACGTATGAATCGTTGACGGTCTTGAAGCAGCGAAGGACTTCATTATCATGAAGGTTGATGCCGCGCTTAGGGAGGAATGCAATGCCTCGTTGAGGATCACCGGATTTGTATTCGGAGAGGTATTCGAATTTGTCGTTCTCGTACTCGTAGTATCGGATGTTGCCATCACTAGAAATGTCAGATGAGCCAACACAAACACGCGGCAACATGACTTACCCCTTTCCGGCGAGGTACAAGCATTGAGTCCCATCATCCCAGAACGGCATGCAAACACCAGAGATGGAGTCCAAAATCTGGAATCCTCCAATGGGCTCTTTTGGTGCGCGGGCGTCCCAGAGACCCAACTGCCGGTCACTCATTCGCGAGAAGCCCGTGGTTGCAATTCGGTCATGCTCACCCATCCAGACAGCGCGGCTGTTCTTCGCTCCTGGATGGCCTGGAAGCTCGTGAGCAGGCTTCTCTTGCCTCACATCCCACAGTCTGAGCTTCTTGTCCCTGCTCGTTGTGACCAGCATGGATCCATCGGCGCTCCATGAGAGCGACTGGACAATATCGCTGTGTCGTAGATTCAGCCTGGCGGCACCGGCCTCGACATCCCAGATCTTGACTGTGTAGTCGCCAGATGCGCTGGCAAGAATGTTTTCGGCAGCGGGGTTAAACAAAACATGGCCGACTTTCCTGGTCCAGTATTAGTGCAGCCCCTATAGCAGGGGTGGTAGAAACAAACCTCATGTGCCCTGTCAGTCGCGCCACAGGCGAAACATCGGCGGGTTCCTCGGCGTCGGTGTAGAGGGTGAAGTTGTCAGGGACTTTCCATATGAAGACCTGTGCGGGTCAGCATCCTCGCGCTCGCCTCTGTGCTGGAGAGACCCACCTTGCCATCGTCGGAAGCGGAGGATATCAGCGAATCGTTGAAAGGGCTCCTGTACAGAATTTAGCCGTCGTTGCCCTCGACCTGAGAGTGGCATTCCTACCAGTCAGTGTCCAGCACAGCAGCAGTGTGTCCGCGGAAGAGCGGTATCTGCTCCGGAAGACGTCCTTTCTCGTTGATGGGAATAACGGCGAATGCGCCTCCACCGCTAGCTTCCCAATTGACCGAAAGATATTCGGGATTTGCCTATCTTGTCTCAGCAATTGCTCGAGTGCTCGAGGTCTGTCGGTCCAGCTGACCTTGATCAGATTCGTATCCCATGCGTTCCTCGAGATGCGGAGGTTGTCGTAGCATTGCTCCTGTGGTTCCAATAAGTCAGCGCATTCCATTTCAGCCTAGTACCATCATAGGGATATCCTACCTTCTTCGTACCTCGCCCGAAGACGTGTCCTAGACCATGGATGTCAGGCGTAAGCTAAGCTGAGGGTAGGCACAAGACACTCACGATACTTCGACGCTCTCACGAATCGGCCAGCCATGTGTGCTTGCGCAGTGAAAATAAGTTGTGGTTAACAATGCGAGAAGAAGACTTCGCCCCTGAGCTCAGAATAGCTGTCAGCGCGGAGGGTGAAAGATGGGTGGGAGTTTCGAAAGCTAGCTGGTTTCAACGGCCTGCAGGCAGTGTCGTGAGGCTGGCCTTGGCGCCTCTTGAACCCTGTCAATTAGTCTTTGCTCCTAGACCGACAACACCACAATATCAACAAAGAGTTATCTATATTCATCTTTGTTTATCAGAGCGCTACATAGAATCATGCGACACTGCGGGGATCATCCCCACTTCCGTCGCTGTGGCAGCCTATCCCAGGTCGCACAGCAACATTGAAACCATAATGCAAGCAGACCCTCAACTCGAGCAGCGGGAGGGTTGTTTTAATCAGTACCCCATTTGTTTCTCTCAATTCTTGTTTGACATTTTCTTTCACCACCCCCCAAAGCTTTCGATCATCTCCGATGGCTGTCCAGGTCATTTCCTTGTCAAGGACTACTGCATTACGAACAAGCCTACATGGCCCTGCTGTGGTATGGAAATATGCATCCTCTTGGTACTCCACCGCATTCCACCCAGAGGGTTTATGGCTCAAGCCCTCTCTGTTAGCGTTCCGTAGTGGGACTCAGCATTCTACCAGTCCTCAAAGATAGCATGACCCTGCTTCATAGCCACTCGCGCCAAGTCGTCAGTCCTGCTCTTCAACCACTGGCTCCAGTTCTCTCCTTTCGCCTCTAGCGCGACGTTGGCCTCAGGGTACAGTCGATACGCGAGCCTATTCAGCCCGTAATCGAAACCTTTGTTGAACTGCTGATTTTCTTCATTGCTGAACTTCTCAAAGACATCGCGCAACTGTTCTGCAAGGCATTTCTCCAAGCACTGCACCAGAGCCTGCGTATACCAGCCTCGGTATCTCCTTACGCGTTTACGGGCTTTGCGATCCGTGCAAGAGAGAGCATTTGGGAATGGCTCTACTACGGCATCCATTGTTCGCATCTCCTCTAGCTTTGCGTCAATAGCCGCGGCGAATTCTTCAGTGTTGATGGACGTCTTTTGAGAGTTGTTCCTGTACGTGATGGCGTGGCCGAGGTGCATCATGACGAGGGTTGGAATCACCTCCATCAGTTCGCCCGAAGTGCGACCGAGCTCAAACGGCTCATTCGCTTTGCCGCGGAGTAGGTCGATCGTCCTCGGTATGGAGAATGAGGACGGCATTATCGTTTGCTTGTTAGTTTCTCGTTCGTTTTGTGAATCGGTGTTTTGAATCGCAATTGACTGTCGGGTGCCTGGTTCTGTGCACAATGGTGAAAGACATGACTGTCATTATTCCGGTTTCTCTAATCTCATTCTTTGTATGTGATTCAAACCTACAAGACCTTGTGAACGAAGGCGTGACCAATTCTAATCACCTGCGGATTGCTTTGGAATGATGTCTCAGATGGGGCTATCACGGCCACCTTGCGCCACAACTGTGGTGTCAGATTTTGATTGGCATGCTATCCCTTCTCTACATTGCTATTTTGGCAGCCTTCGAAGTACAAAAACGTGAAAACAGAACGATACGTCCTCTTCACTCTAGCAAAGCCAGCTCTTCTGCATGGCTTCCCGAGCAGCTCTCACATCCCCTGCCGAGGCGGATCCTGCACCCCAGACTTGCATATGCCTAGATGGAGCAAAGGAACAGCATCCCCAGATCACCTTTTCTCCACGCGAGCATCGCATGGGAGGGATCGTGTTGCCTGACAAAACCTGGAGACTCCAAGGGCCCAAGAACTAAATCCCCAGAATCTAGCGAATCATCCTTTTGCTTGGCTTGGAAATGCCCAAAATCAACCAATAAAATTCTAGCAAATGGGAGATTTTCAGAGTGCATGACTAGCAATCCGCCACGCCGGACCTCGGTGCTTTCGGCTGCAAGGATTCAGGGCTGGCGTTTGATGACATAAATATGCGGAGAAGCTTAACCCTCCAGCTCTCCCTTCTCCTACTTCTGCTTTTCTTCCCTTCTCACTGAATCCATGCAATGTCCGACGATACCGTTAAGCCAGGGGCACCGACCGCGAAGGCTGTAGACGAAAAGTCCGACAGGGTGACGTCGCAGGAACTGGGTGTTCCAGGAACTGTTGTATTGGCGGCGAAGCAGCTTGATCATGTTATTCTGCGATTGAACAAGTATATATCCCTTGGATAGGATGAGTTATAGTTGGGGCGACGCCTGATTTTGTATTGTAGATTGCTTGCCAGCCCCGGCGGCCTCTCCTCTTTCCTCTCGACATTGAATTATGGACTTTACGTTCTCGCATATCTCCAAACGCAGTCTCCATCCACGACGAAGCTCGCCCGCACACTTCTCTCCCTCGTAAACAGCAGACAACACCCCGCGAAACCAGGCACAACCACACTCGCCACTCCCGATGGCGCCGTCCCGCCGATCACCGCACTCGCCCAGCTTGTCTCCCGCGCTCGCACAACGCTCCGACTCTTCGGACTCTTCCCCCTATATGCATGGCTGAGGACATTACTAGCCGACCGAAAAGCAGACACAGATCCAGTGTTACATCGCATTGCCCTACTACAATGCCTATCATACATCGCCTACCAAGCCCTAGAAAACATCTCCGTCCTCGCTGACAATGGCATCCTCTCTAAAAACTTCGTCGCGCTCATCAATCGCGGCGACCCCACCACTGCCCGCATCTACCGGCTCGGCTACACCGCCTGGCTTGGCGGCATATCCTGCGACTTCCTCCGCCTCGCGCGAGAAGCGCAATTGGAGAGTCGGCGGAGGGTGGTGCGTAAACGGATGCAGGAAGAGGGGAAGGCGGTGGCAGAGGGTCAGGAGGAATTGGATATGCGGACTGATGCGAAGTGGTGGACGGATTTGATGATTTGTTCGGCGTGGTTCCCGATAGCGTGGCAGTTTAGTAGTACCAAGGGTATTCCGGGGTGGAATTCGGGTTGGATGGGGTTGTGTGGGTTGGTGGCAGGGAGTTCGAGGGTGCAGGCGCTTTGGGGCGCCACGTTGCATCCATAGGATGTGGAATGCCGGGGTTGGATATGGGGATGGGGGGATTTGGATGAAAATTGGGCCATGGAGAAGACCTGGAGATCTGGGTTTTGAGCACTTGCACAGAGATACCGAATATATTATACTATTTCCTCGAAGGTCCGTGGACCACCTGCACATGAAATACCCAAGACTGCTAACAAGTAGGCCATCTCTCAAACCACTGACAGTCTCCTCTTCCCCCCCTCTTCCTCCTCTTGCCCCTCCTCCCTCCAAGCACAAGCCTCACTCAACAACCTCTTCTTACAAGAACACTTGCTACCCTTCGTAGCAACATACTCCCTCCCATGCATCTTCTTACAGACTAGTTTCTCCAACTCACGCCGAAACCCCTTCTTCACCTCTTCCTCCTCATCCTGCTTAATCCCCTCAATCACCAGTCTAAAGTCTACACCAGTCAGCTGCGACACTTCTCTTAAGAAATTCTTAATCTCCGGTTGGCCGTTCTTCCCAGTTAACCTCTGCTCACACAACGCTCTGTCACCTAGGACAGTCTGTGCGCCCTTCATCCACTCCACTCTTTCCTTATCCCAAAAATGCTGATCAACAACGAGTTCAAAGTCTTCCAACGCCGTAGCTGAAAGCCTCAACATCCTAAGAATCTTCCGCCAAATTACAAAGCTCGTTTTAATTGTTGACGGCGGCGTTCCTCCTCCCGCAACATCGAAACAACCGCGAAACCCGGTCTTCGACGTCGTTGTATATCGAAATGATATCCGCTTCAATCGCGAGAGGGATTTCATGCGGTCATGGAGGAATGCGAGGGTGCCAGATGCTGTGCCTCGGAAGGAGAATGTCGAGGCGTACAGTATTTGGACGGTTTCATGGTAGAGGATTCGAGAGGCTAGCATGATGTTTAGGTGAGGGTGTGGGGGTGTAGAGGAATGCACCACGTATGTTGTTCTACGGAGTTCATTGTTCTCGTCTGGGACTTCGTATTCTGTTCGTTTGGAGAATGCTTTGGGGGATGAGGCGAAGGCCCAGTCGCTGACAGTTAAGACGTCATGGGGGATTAGGAGCTGGTAGATGTGGTGGCGGATGTGCTCTGGGAGTTCTAGGAACCGGAAAATGGTCTTCTTGTCTTTGATTTGGTTTTCGGCTTCCTTCACCTTTGAGCTTGTTGCACGTGCTTGTTGATCCAGCCCACTGCCTTCTTTCAACCGTCCCGCAACCGCGTCTTTCAACCCCCTCCACTGCCTAACGCACTGCTTCGGATAACCCCTCAACGCCCCAGCCACCCTCTCACAAATACACCAGTAATCTTCCAACCACCCCGAGTCCATCATACTCCCTCCCACAATTGCTTGGGCAAGCACAAATACCACATCTTCTGCCTTACAACCCAATAATGCCTCGTGAAGTCCTTGCGGCAACTCTCCGCCTGACTTCGTCGTCCCGTAAAGCACCTCCGTCTGCACTATTACGAAGAATTCGTTGACTCGGGATGGCGTGACTTCGGCGAGATCGTCGTCAGTTATAATTAGTGGGGTAAGGGAGGGGGTGTGGGTTATCCAGTTTGCTGGCATCGGGAGTATATATGGTGGGGATGGCGGTCTTTGCTGGGTTGAGAATTGTCAAGAGGTTGTTGTTGTTGGAGTGAAGGTGTGGAGGGGTAACACAAGGCTTTCTAAGGAGGATGCTGATGGGCATTCGAAATAGGATGGTAACGTGCATCCCTGCGACGCGAGCCACCCTGTGTGGCGAGCCAAATGAGGGGTACTTTGACTTCAGCGAGCTCAAATATCGTACGCACAGCCTATACAATCATGGTTCTATAGAAAAAGTTAGCTGTAGCTCATCCTAAATGTCTATAATCTACTCTTCACTATAAATTACATGCGAATTATCGCCTCCGAGCCTAGTTAGGTGTCGCGCCTTCTTTCGTCGTGTAGTATGCTTCTCTTTCTATAGCGCCAACATAAAGACTTTGTCGCTCTAAACTTCTATAGAAGGCCCTTATTTAAGGCTCTGAACGTCTCTCTACTGCTTCGAAGTCGTCGCGAGCCTTTAGCGTGCTGTCGCGGGCAAATTCATGCAGGGTTGCTCTCGCGATCGGTACCTCTAGCAGAAGCGAAACACCAATCCTAAGTAGTGCGAGATGACCAGACTGCCTTAGCTCATACCCTGAAGGTATTATATCGTAAGAAATGCGGCTGTAGGAGTCGCATAAGCGCCCGCACTGTGACTGAATCCGGCCTAAGATTGGGAGCAGTGCCAAGATCAGCACGGCCACAGCGCTTGTCCGTCCGAGCCAACACGCTTCCAGCGTCCAAACCAGCCGTGCCATTTCTAAGTTTGGCCTGCCCGATCCGCCTGAAGCTGGTCCACTAGGCGAGCCGAGCTCAAGTAAGCAGCTCCTAGTGCCCTAAACGGAGGAAACAATTGCTACTTGGCTTAGCGCATGCCACCTTGGTTTACAGAAGGTAGTTACTAAGAGCGACCTACGGCTTATAAGGGGTGACTCGCCTCTAACTGCGCCTAGATATAAGGAGGATATTCTATGGTTAATATTTAGTGCAGGCAAGTTCATGACTTTTGCAGGCGTAATTGTCCGCCACTATGCAAAGTTAGTGGCGCAAAGAGAAGCAGGAGCAGAAAGGCAAGACATAAGAAGAGACTAGCGCGCAATTTAGGCTTAGATTAAGTGCTAAGACCTTAACTAATAATAATGCAATATTTTAACAGTTAGTAAACAAAGATAGAATAATAATTAAAAGTTAGGTAGTTAGTTAACTAAAATAAAATATTAACTTAATAACCTAGTAGTTGTTAGTAGATTCTACTAAGAAAAATTAATGTATAAAGAGGGCCTTTAGCTAAGTGTGAATAGAATATAGAATGTAGGTAGAATAGAAGGACTGTACAGGTAAGAGATAGACAGGCTTTACTATAAGATAAACTTGCCTTTAGCGCGTAAACTATTATTCCCTCCTTGTAACGGCGCAGGCAAGACAATGGGTCTGAATGCGGTGGGAATCCACTCAGAGGCATATGGGAGTGCGTGGGGACTCTGAACCTGGGAATGCCATTGACACCTATAGGCCTTGTACGAAAGGATGTCAGAAAACTACTGAGCTAGCTACGGGGCGAGGTGCGACTAAATACATGAGGGAATAGGGGTACAGCAGGGGGCAGGGCAGAGTCGGGGCCAGGTCGAGGTCGGGGCCGATACGGGGGCCTTCCGGAGGTTCCGGGCGACCTGACGATTCATGAGAATCGAGTCAGGGTCGGAGCCGATACGGGGACCCTTCGGATAGGTTCCGGGCGACCCGAGATGGAACGAGAATCGTTACACTCCTTTTTACAGGCCTTAGGTGTACTAGAGGGGTAATATTAGCATTAGTAAGACTAGTTAGGTAGGTTTATAGAAAAGAACTTAGGCAGAATTATAATTAAGGATTAGCATTAGTATCTTTAGTAAAGTAAAAAGAGAGAGTGAACTTACGCAATTAGTAAAGACACATTAGAGTAATGCGTCTTTTGCTTAGCTACAACAGAAGGTTGCATTGCCTAGGTAGCCTTATAAGAAGGTGTAAGAGTCTAACTTTACTAACCTATAGTAAAGAACTAGGTAAACTATATTCTATGCTAGGTACAAGAGCCCTAAGCAGCAGAAACAAGTCTGCGCTTTTATAAGCAAGAAGGCTAGGCACATAAGCTCTAAGCAGCAGAAGCATGTCTGCGCTCTTAATTAACTTAAAAGCTAGGCACAAAAGCCCTAAGTAGCAGGAGCAAGTCTACGCTCTAAAATCTCTATTACCTAAGTAAATTATAAGAGAGACTAATCTCTTTAGAAACTAGCCTTAAATTTTACTAGGTCTTCTAACCTAAGAAGCTTAGCTAATTCTATAATAAGGTCTTTAAATAAGGCTAAAGGCCTGCTAGTTAACAGGCTGTGTAAGCTAGTAGGAGGGTTAATAGACCTGCTAGTAGAGTCCTTAATTATAGAGATAAACCTGCTAAGTTTAAGATCCTAATTAAAGCAAATTGCTAGCATAGAGAGGGTTAGACTAATCTAGTGTAGCAATGCGTTTGCTGTTATGCTTTAAGGAAAGTAATGCATCTTAATAGTACCTGTTCCGCGGAGGTTCTTAAAGTTCTAAGTAAGTGACCTCTTAGAAGACAGGAACTAGATAAGCTAATTACGCTCCTTATCTTTATCCTCTTAGCAGGGAATAGCCTCTAGTTCCTAGACTGCTTCCTAACGTCTGGCAATACTTAGCCACTTACTATTGCTGTTTATAGCTGCTTATTAGGTAATTATGTTAGTGTCTAGTACACTAGCAGAGAGAGCGCTTATAAGACGTATAATACCTTTGCTAATAAGCCTAACCTCCTAGAGTGTCTAGTGCCTCTTGACTAGCGCTACATAAATGTGTGTAGAGCCTTCTGCTATTTTAATAATATTAAAAGACTGTTTAAGAACATAATATACGTCCTAGATTTGTTTCTTAAACACAGACTAATTATTAAATATTAGTAAAACAATCTTAATGCTATCTAGAATAATACTATTAGCAGATAGTTTATGTCTCTCTTAAAGGTGTTAAGATAGAAGGTGGCGTGGATAGTAATAATTATTAAGAAGGTAATAATAGGCTTAGAATATCTTAGAGCGCTTAGATTAAAGAGCGTGCCTAGTAAAGATAGTAGAGGCTGTAGTGTTAATGTGTAGTAAGGTAATAAGAAAGCTATTAGTTACAAGTTATAGAATTATCCTTAGACTTAATTAACAAAGGATTGTCCTAGATGTCCTAGTACACAGTTGTTACAATCCTTGCTTCGTGGAAGCACTTAGGTCGTATGATATTCCTAGGGGAGAAGTAGGACGAGTGGTAGGGGCCAACGGCAGAGTGTACAGTCCTACGTGTAGGCTACTAGGCTACTAGAGGGGAGTAGAACAACTAGATTGTAGTTTACCCTTTATGCAGCAGTAGAAAGGCTAGGTTAAACAGTCCTGTTAGACAAGGTTAGAGGTATATATAGTGTAAAATATATAAATAGTATTATAGCTTTTTAAAAAGCTAAATGCTACTTAGTCTATGTAAAAAATAAACTTAAACATTAAACACACTTCTTAAAGGTTGTTTAATATAGGAACTATATATATATATAGAGGGCGTTAAGGTAAGCAGGATAAGTTTATGTAAGCCTGCTAAAAAGAGCTCTATAAGCTTTCTTAGACTTACTAGACTTATAGCCTGTTTTCTTACTAAACAACACACTTCTCTATTACTGCAGGAAGTAGTGCTGCTTCTGTGTCCTCTAACTAGTCTATAAGCAAGCCCTGTTCTAATCTAGCTAGATAGTGGAGCACTGCTAGTAGAGTTACGCTAGTCTAACTATAGACTGTAACACGCTGCCCCTCCTCTCTAGCAGCGTCTTTGCTGCTCTGCTTACATAACTGTGTTAGTAAAAGTTTATTTATAAAGTAAGCGCCTGCCTACTAGAAAGCATTTCTAATATTTATTTTTTTAAGCTAAATAGCTTGCTAGTCTTATTTATTCTATTATTTTTATGCTGCTTTATGTTTTAATTCTTTTTACTAGACAAAAATAAGACTTTATAGCACTTACTAGTTATTAAAGTTGTTTTATGTGTTAACTTTATTCTTAAATAAATGTGTTAAGTGTGTAAAAAAAAATAGTAAGTGTAATGCTTTTATTTTAAACACTATGTAAAATTAGTTAAAGAAAGAGAGAAAGATGCTTCTCTAAAATGCTACTATAGTAAAGGTTTATAAGTAAAAGCTTAATAAAGAAATGTTACACTAGGTTTAAAAAACTTTAGAGGTAAAAGCTAGAAAGTGTTTTAAATAAAATTATATTTAAAAATTACTAAATTTACTAGAGGCTTAACATATAAAGTATTTAAAAAGAGACCTTTTCTTTTTAGATAAAATAGAAGCTCTTAAGGCTAAAGTAGAGAGCTATTCCCCTCTACAGCTCTTATTAGCTAGGACTTGTCTTTATAGGCTGCTGCTATCTAGTAATAACATAGCTATTTCTTTTAATATAGGTGCTTTATTGCCTAGCTAGTTTTTTTTAAATAAGCTTAAAGGTACCTCTGTACTAACAGCTGCGTGTTTTGCAAGTTCTTAGCTAGTTTTTATGTGTTTTTACTAGTAAGCTACTTTTTTTATTTTACTAAAAACTCTTTTTTATTTTTTTAGTTACTAATAATGTGTTTAACTTTATACTTAGTTTCTTTATCTTTTTATCTTTATATAGATAAGGGAATCTCTTTAAGTGCTTTTTTTAATCTAAAGACATAGAACTATAGGTGTATCTTTATGTGTAGAGGAAGCTTAAGCTTGTAATTGTCACGGTCGGCATGCTCAAGCTACAAGCAAGAGGTAGTGTAACTCAACTAGATTAAACTAAGGAGCAGAGGAGCTGCTCTGCGAGTTTAAATATACATGTGTGCCCCCTGCCAAGGCGCTACT